GTGTATGTGTGTGTGTGTATGTGTGTGTGTGTGTGTGTGTGTATGTGTGTGTGTGTGTGTGTGTTTTCTTTTAATGTATAGGTCCATCTCCATCAGCAACATTCACTGTTCACTGTGCCATTTACTTACTGCTCAGTCTCGCAATTATCAAATACGGTGGGTGGTTGGCGGGTGCTCTGGTGTGGTTTGCTTTTTCTTTCCTATCAAACGTCTATCGTCTTTATCTCTCCTCCTTCTTTTTTGTGTTTGTTACTCCCTTGTAATACCTCTAATCTTCGGCACTTATATGACCTTATTGTGTTGCAAGTGCCGTAAAACTCTTACGGAAAGAAAAGAGGAGGGCGTGGTACTGGCCCGCTTTTTTTTCTTTTCCTTAGTCACCATAGCGTGACGAACTTGTTACCCTAGTTCCTTCCTTTTATCTGCCTGCGGGTGGTTGGAGGGCGCACCTGGTGGGTCCTGCTTCTTTTGTGCCCCACTCACAGATGTTTGGTCCTGTCTTACTTTGTCCCCCTGACCTAAGTAGGCTATACTGTTCTCACGATCGTCTAGTAAGTGGGTGGTTGGAGGGCGCCACTGGTAGGTCCTACCAGACAAGGAGAGTTTTCTCTTTAACCAAACAAAATAGTATACACACACCAATGAAACCAAACTTCTCCGATAGGTAGGGCAATGTCCACTTTTGGTGTCGGTCAAGATTTCTGGAAACCTCCGAAATCTGGGTTAGCCCGCTTGTCCTTAAAAGGGACCAATTACTTGTATTTCTTGTTCAGTGTGTCTTGAATTGCAGTTTTATCATGCACTTGGTTGGTCCTCCTTCTTTCCTACCAAAACGTCTATCGTCTTTATCTCGTTTCCTTCCTTTTTTGTGTGTGTGTATGTTAGTGGGTGGTTGGCGGGTGCTCTGATGTGGTTTGCTCCTTCTTTCCTATCAAACGTCCATCGTCTTTATTTCCCCTCCTCCTTTTTGTGTATGTCACTCTCTTGTAACACCTCTGTTCTTCGGTACTCATATGACCTTATTGTGTTGCAAGTGCTGTAAAACTCTTACTAAAACTAAACTTTGTGTATGTCACTCTCTTGTAACACCTCTGTTCTTCGGTACTCATATGACCTTATTGTGTTGCAAGTGCTGTAAAACTCTTACTAAAACTAAACTTTGTGTATGTCACTCTCTTGTAACACCTCTGTTCTTCGGTACTCAT